TGTATGACGTGGATGCTCGACCCAATCAGGACACAATCAATCAGCGATCTAGATTTTAAAAAAGGCATTCGCCCATCGTCTACACTTTTCCACGCCATTCGTTGAGCCAGTGACCATAATTTACAAATGGAGCTCATCGAATCACGAGGCTGAAAAAGAAAGTCTCGATTCAAAATTGCCACCTTAACTCTAAAATTTGCAACATATACATTGGTAAGCTCAATAAATATTATTGGAAGTACAAAAAATACTTCCAAAAACTTCCATATGCAGCAGTGGCCTTCTAGTTTGCTTTTTTCTTAGTTGTTTTGATTTTTTCCCGCACTATTATTACAGTGAAGAATATGTCCATACAAAGTCCAAAATGGCGCCCGCTTTATTGATTTTAGAGATTGCCAAAATGTAACACCAAGAATTAAGCCCTAGTGTCAACTCCTTTCCGCGGGGCAATTTTAATTTTCTAGTACGCTCGTGATTTTTGTCGGGTTCAAATATTATAAAACAAATATATGCAAAAGCATTTTCGTATGCATTAATAAAGGAGATAGACAACTAGATATACAATTTTGTTTAAATTCTTAAACGTACATTCAGTCTTCTGTGAAATCATAATTCAACGTACTGGCGTTCGTGCTTTCGGAAGTTTCACGACGCAATCGCCACCTACAGATCGGTGCTGTTGCTGGTAGATGCACCTTAGACCACTTTAAAATCACTGTAATCACCTTTTTGATCACCGCACCTTTAATAAAAATAGAGCTCCTCACGTAAACACGTGCAACTAAATCTTACCTGAAGGAACATCACCTTACCAAACAAACTACTGGGTAAAAAAAAAAAAAAAAAAAAACTTGCGAAAGAATCACACATAGAAGGACGAAACATAGGCAGCACATATTTCGTGCTGTCTGTGTTCTCCCACTGACAACACGCAATCGCCTCAATGCAGTACTGTCGACGACTTTCTTGTAAACATGAAGGGCCGCTCCAGCCAAAAATATTTATCTAAATTTATTCACTGCTTTTATTTCTGCGCAATTTTATTATTGTTTTGTATTCTTGTATATATAGCGTGACCCAAGTCACCAGGCTTGATCTAAAAGGGACCGTAACAATATTAACACCTGCACTTGGCAATCTAAACTTTTCGTCAAAAGTGTAATTCACAGCTCATCTCTTTCTTTTTTTTTTTTTTTTTTGTAAAATTATAAAGCGTAACTCGCTTTCTGTGAAAAATAGGGCGAAGAAGCTTGCCAGGGTCTACGGCGGGCTGCGACGCAGACGACCAAGTCCAGTAGCGGGGCGCATTTGGTCTTCGTATTGATAGATGACGACGGGAGCAGCGTCCGAAGGTGCAGCCAACGTTATTAGATTAGCTCAGTTACGGAACTGCTCATAGACGCTGCATGCACGAGCAGTACCCCTATGGTGTCTGGAGCGCGTCTTCGACTGGTGCGTTTAGCGTCCTATCCCGCCCATACATCAAAAGTGGTCGTAAAGTGGCAACAAATGACGTCACAGCAGCCGGAGTCTCATGTTGTTGCCTGTCGCGATCCTGGCGGTTGGTCGGAGAAATGCGGGCGAAAAGCACGAGCAAACGCGAGTGTCAATGTCGTCACGGCGTTCCTGGCGTCCCAACCATAGAGTTATTATAACGTACGCTAGAGGTTCAACTGGTGCTAGCGTGCTGCTGCAAATTGAAGCAGACAGCAACCAGTCGGAAATTGACTTCCGGTAATGCTTTTCTATGGGAAAAAGCGAGTGCATTTTCTCACTGCGCTCGATTACAAGAGCAAATATACCGCATATTTGGTACGTACTAGGCACATTGGAACATTCCTCAGTCACGCAGACGAAATAATTGGTCAGTTACGGCGTTTTTATTTCAAATTTGTGGCATGAAAAACGGTGCTAAAACCGTTTCGTACATGTATTTGTGTGCACTGTCGGACACTGTTAGCGCGAACATGGCGTCGGCGCTTTCCGCCATGGGGGATATCCGTGTCAAACGACCGAAGGACATGTGGAAAACCAAGAGAGACGGCAAAAACTACGCAGTAACACTGGATAAGTAACTATGCAGGCGATCAAAATAAATTGAAAGCCACGTAATATAGTCCGATTTGCAATAAATAATTACTGCTTTATTCTTTCTGCTCGTGAATATGTGCGAAGATGCATGTTCTGGGTTCAAATCATCAACCGCACGCTCCAAATCTTTACAAATGGGGAGAAGTCAGAGAACGGGTGCTCGATAAAAACTGCCTGACATAGGAAATAATAAAAAGACACACCTTTCGTAGCCCACGTACTTTATTTTTTACATTCGGATGTTCTTTAACCGATCGTAAAGATGCGCGATGGAGTCATATTCATAGAGCGACAGGACGGGCATATTACCAATATATAAGCGCCACCGGAATGCTAGCGAACCTTGAACACACTCTACATTCCTTTCGATCGTTATTTAGCTCAGAATCCTCGCTCGTTTTTACGTACCTGTCATGGAACAGAGGTTTTGGGTATGAAATATAGCGAAGCGCAACATCGTTCAGTGGTAAAGAAAAATGCTGTAATTAAAGCAATTACACTTTTACAATATTAACAAAGGTACATACCATCCGGTACAACCAAAATAATAAAAGTTATTCATGTTATTTTCCGGCGAAGAGACACAATTCACGGGCGTTTTCTTATAGGAATGCACAGGAGCACCGCAAAAGTAGACTGGTTGCTGCCTGCTTCAATTTGCGTCACGGAAGTCGCATAGACACTAGCGCCAGTTGAACCTCTAGCGTACATTATAATAACTCTATGGTCCCAACTTCCGGCTGCTTTAGCTTCCGTGGACTGCCGCATTGGAGAGCGACCTGCAGCAGAACAGGCGCCTGCCACATACACCACAGCTATTGGGACGCCGCCAGGTTCGCGACCAGCGACAGCATGACACTTCTATGACGTCATCAGGCGGAAATCGAGGGACCACTTCTTTGAATCCGGTAAACCCACCAGTCAGAGACGCGTTCCAGGCACCGTAGTATTCCCCCCCCCCCCCCTCCCCCCCCTCTCACGCGCAGAGCCGTTTATGGGGAGAGTTTGGCCATACATTGGTTTGAATAGGCGAGCATCTTGCGGCCAAACACAGGCCTTGAAACAGCCCCTAGCGGTGGTCGTGAGTTCTAAATATCTGACACGACTAATTCAAGCCGTTCTAGCGTCGCTAGATTGATAAGGTTTAGCTCTTGGTGACTGAAAACTTTGGACATGTGAGGTTTTCGTCACGCCAATATTCAAGTGTAGAATCAACGAACGTGCGCTCCAAACCAGGGCCGACTTGGACTTGCTAGAAACAGCATATCAGCTGCGACGGGGAAAGAAAGCACTGCCAAAGCCAGCGCACGAGCCGAGCGGGACTCCGCGTCTCAAGACGCTCGCGCGCCCCACCCTTTGCACTGTTTTCTTTCAGCCAGTCTCAGCTGAGACGCTGTTCTAGCAAGCCGGCCCAGAGCACACTGTCACTGATCAGGAACGTCAGCAGTGCAGACAAAGGCATGGGCACGAGCGCGTGGCTTTGGAAAGTGCCTCCTATGCACGAGTTCTCGCACAAACAAAAGCATCTCGCTGAGCCAGGCTCACGCGCCTGTGCCTTTCTCTTTACTGCTTTATATGTCGCTTGCAATATTGTGACGGTGCGGTCTCCGGATTGGTCGACGCTGTGTCGTACTTTTAGTTTACGCTCTAACCGCGGGAGGAGTTTTCGGCACTGGCGGCGGCCTTTGCTCCGCTCATTGTCCAAACACTCCTAATATACGGCTCTGGCCTGGCGTCACTCGACGCGCGCCGGGCGGCTGCTTTGGTAACTGCAGTGTATTTTATGGGATGCGTACGTTTCGATGCACGGCGTCTAGATGGCGTTTAAGCTCTGCTCTATGCAGCTCGTTGGCAGCTCTATGGAACGCGCAGTTATGAAACGAAAATGTAGATGCCGTTTCGAAAGACGGCAGGCGGATTGAAGTGAGTAAGGGGGGGGGGGGGGGGGGGGTATTCCGTTCCGCAAGAGTTCCACAACTGAGGCAATCTAGTAACGTTGGGTGCAGCCGACCAGCGAAAGAAAGCAGACGACACGCAGAAGAAATCTGTTGGCAGCAAAATCCCCATCGTTATGCAGGCGCGTCCTTTCACCTTAAGTTTTGCTTTTATTGTCCGTATTTATTTTTTAACCGATGGTACATGTCAGAAAGATTATATTCATTTTATTAAACCACGGTGGTCGCGAGCCGTTGCGATAAGAAGCTTGCGCCATCTATCAATAAGAACGCTAAACACACCTCGCTACTGGACTCTACGCCCGCCGTAGACCCTGCCAAGTTTATTGGCCCTATTTTTTACAGAAAAACAGGTACGCTTTGTAATTTTACAAGAAAAAAACCGACCTGTGAAATACACCTTTCACGTAAGGTTTAGATTGCTACGTGCAGGCGTCGAATTTTACGGTCCATTATACATCGAGCCTGGTGACCTGGGTCACCCTATATGTTTGCGCAATTTTATTCGTGTAGCCGGATGTACGAAAGAAAACAGTCATGATCCACACGCATAGGCGTCGGTAAGTGACTGTCGCGTAACGCCCTTTCCGGGTTTTCTTTTTCGTCGCTTAAGAATAGGAAAGCACGTTGCATCTACGCACACGAGACAAACGATAGCACAAAAAGTCCCTAATACCCGTGAAAGCACATGTTCGCGGGTAACAGTGACGCAACAAAGCGTTCCTAGAGAATATCACGGGCGCTCTATTCTAAAAGAAAGTTGTGTGTTTTAGACGCACGATAATGAGCTGGAAGTTCCCTGAAAAGCCCTCTTTGTGTTGTTCAAAATGTAATTACCGATTCTCCAGACGAACAAACCACACTAATTGCTGGCTAGAGAGGTGATCTGAAAACCGCCTGAACCTCGCAACTTTTAGGTAAACCAGTACAGAAGTCTCACCCAGAGCGCCTCACCTTCCAGCATTTGAAGTTGCTTGAGATGGTCACTTGACCCTCGCGCATGCGCAAGAACTTGTTCCGCATGACGAAGCCCCTCCAGGTCTTCTGAATCAGGGTGGCCAGCTCATGCAGCCGTTCATGCCGAAATTCTTCGAGCTCGTAAACCTAAAGCACGTACGAGTTATTTAGCGAATTCGCACGGAAAGCAACAGCAGTTCTACAGGGTGAGATCGAGAAAATGAAACGGGGTCTTTCCGTCCGCATAAATAAACTACGCATCGCAGGAAGCTGAAACTCGGCGAAAACGTGACGCTGCAGGTTGTAATAAAGTGATAAAGTTTAAGCACATGACATTACCTGGGTCAAAAGATACAAAAGAAAAACAAACATTATCTATGAGCCGAGGTCCACCTCAGCCTAATATTCACCAAATTCAGACTTGACATTTCGGGCGCATGTAGTAATTATATCAGTGACAAGACTTGTCAGTAAGAAAGAAAACAATGTTGTCGCGGATGAAAAGGATCGACAACCATAAAACTGAAAATAAACGTTTAATCGGCGAACCTATACCAGAAAACAACAGAGAGAATGAGTCAAGAAAGCAGCGGCGAGCGTCGAAAGTGGCAGCAGCGAGCGTCGGGGTGTCGGCGTGACGGCTGACTGGCGCGGGAGTGCCTCAGTATGTCGTCGTCCGGAGAGTGACTCGGCAAGGCCACGCCTTGGCTCCTCATCTACTACACTCGGTATCCGGAACACTCCGTCTAGAATGTTCGAACATCGAACACTCGCGAGACTGACTCGGCAAGGAAATGTTGGCCTCCTTATCTATTCCACTCTGGGTAAGAGTAAACACGAACCTTCTAGGAAGTAAGCAGAAGCGTTTACTCTCAGCCATGCACGCGTAAATATTCTATTAAAATCTAGTCTCAAATAGAAGTGTGATGCAGATTCAGCTTAGATGGCCTATAGATCATTATTGTTTTTCTTTTGTGTATTTCGATCCAGCTAACGTCATGTGCTCACGCTTTCGCCTTTTATCACCACCGCTAGCGCCAGTTTCTCACAAAGTTTCAGCTCTCTGCGATGCGTGGTTTATTTATGCGGGCCCAAACACCGGACTTCGATTTTTCGATCTCGCTCTGTAGTATGTTTCAATGGTGCTACCAGTTCAGTGACAATTTGTTAGCCTAGTATTCTGCGTAAATGCTGACTACAGGAGCCCTAGAGTAGTCCGACACAAGGATTGAACCGAAAGTTCGCGGAGTGCGCAGATTGGACGTCTGTGACAAAAGCGCGGCGTGATCGACGCGAGAATCCAATCGGCGCGCTCCATAAGCTTCGGCCATAAGTTCGCGTCTGACGAGTCTCGGGTGCCTTAAATGGCAGTCTTACTCAGTGATACAATTATGGCGACTCCACGCCTTTTGAGCCTACCAGTCCACTGATAGGTTGAGGTACGCAGTGCGTGTCAAGTCTTGAGCACTCCATTCTCGGTTCGCCCGTAAGAACGCCGAAGAGCGAATCAGGAAAAAAGAGGCATGTACATAATAGGCCACCTCCCTACGTTCCTTAGGCTACAGGTGGTATAGGTAGTTCATTGAGAAACAAGTGCTCCAGTGCATCTTGCAAATACCTTTATGAACTTGTCACTGATAGTTCCTTTACAATAGAAAAGAAAAAAAAAAAAAGATGAAGGCAAGAGTAACGTCTTCGATAAAATGTCTACAGTCGTAGGTTAAGAAGAACGCGGTTGGATACCATCTTCGGGGGATAGCGGTAAAAACATACCTGATCCCGAAAAACATAACAACCGATAACGGTTTTGGTGGACTATAAATGAGACGAAAGGCTGCTCGCACACACAATTTATTGCGCGTAGACTTTTGAGACTGCGAAGAAATACCAAATTTTCTCATTTGAGTACTCCATTTGAAAAAAAAAACTACTCCTTCCAATTATTGAGTCTATATAAAATTTAAAAAAGAACACTAAAATGTCGACCTGTAGAGTGAAAAAGTAAATTTCGAGCCCATTAAGCTGATTCACATGCTACGCCGTGTCAGCCGTGGCTCGTTTCCTCTTTTTCGCTTTACAATAGACAGCAGTGGACGCTTCGAGTCACTGGAGCCAATTGAATGGTGTGTAAATGCCACTCGATGTCCGGGAGGGGCACAGTAAGTGCGTGATACGGTCACAGTGTTGGATTAATGGAGATGGCTCGTGGCGTACGCTGCGCTTCATCGTGATATAGCACAAAATAATAACAAATGAGGCGAAACAGGAACTCAGAAAACAAATGCGAAAAATGAGTCCGGAAAAAGACGCATCCTCAAGACTCCTTCAAAGTAAAATTCTCCAGGGCCGGTTTGCTCGTTAACGCTGGTATTTCTCCTGGCAGTTAAAATAGCCACGAGGGGAATTTCCAGGTCACCCGACCGGCTTCGCGGTGAGAAAGTACCTCGCGTTCCAGCCCCTATCGCTCAGAAGATCGTAGCCTCGCCTATAATCGTTTTATTCCTTTCTTCTTAGAGCCTCCACAAATATAACACTTCATATACGGCTCCTAAAGTACTCGAATTCGATTTTTTTCATTCATATTTTTTAAAGACGGTTCACCCTCTTTCTGCACGCAATATCGAACTCGAATAATCGTAGCGAGGACGGATTCATGGCAGCCTTTTGCCTGGAGCGTAAGGTTCCTTTAGTCTTTTGTCCACACGAAGCCGGTCTTCTGACCCCAAAATTCCCATTACAGCTATTTCAACCACAGGAGAGATACCCGCATTCAGCAGCGAACCAGTCTATATCGGCGTTCACCTTCAACGGTCGGTAGAGAAGGAGCGTACCGTGCGTGGGTTCTTGACGAAGATCTTGGTCCTGCCGAAGGCGTACTCGGAGGGGTGGACGGGCAAGTCCCTGAGCAGGAGCGTGACGCCCTCGACGGGGAGGCCCGACCAGTGAGGCCACGTGTGCGGACTGAGCAGCTTGTAGCGCTCCAGGAAGGCCTCGTACTCCTGCCGGAAGGCGAACCCGGCGCGCCGCACCTTCAGGTTTTCCACCAGCCTGCACCGGAAGAAAAGGAACCGTGGAATAGGACGTTTCGGGATGAAAAGACTAAGGATCAAAACCAAAATGCATATGTTTTCTTCGTACGATGAAGAATTAATAGACTACCGTAATATCTCAAACAAACGCTTACCCATGAAAGATACCCCCCCCCCCCAACCCCCCTCCCCTCCGCCCCTATTTTACCCCTTTTATTGCTTAACCGTACCTCAGGACTCATTCCGAATTTTAAGGTAATATTAATTGCGTTTTCGGTGTGCTGAGGGCCCTTTCTTTGTTGTTGTTTACGGTACATAAAGGCTAACTTAGGCAAGTGATTTCATATTGTAGGCGGCCGGTTCGGTACCGATTTTTGAGGAGGAACAAGCACTTGAACACTGCTTGTTCTTCCTCAGGCATAATCAGGCTCCTCAGTAGGCTCCTGTTTAGTTGGTGGACCGTGTCGTTGTGTTGGTGCCTTCGGTTGTCAAAGTTATTTTGTTGGTAGTTCCTAGTTTCTTAAAAAAATTTTGTTGCGTTGACACTAATTGTGGCAGTCGGCTGTTGATGGGCCTATTTAAAGGGCCCCTGAAAAGAAAAAGGAAATGTGTTTCTTTAAACACTCTGGTTGGGAGACGCGTGTAAAAAAATTACATTTTACGCGAAAGAAATATTTTTAGATCAATATTGAAGGCACGAGACGCGATTTAGTCTGTAGTCACATCCTTTTCACTTGTTCTTTCTCTCGGCAGTTCGGGCGCGTGGAGCAGAGGTGGATTGCCTTCGCATTCACATTGAGGTGGAAAGTCCGAATGACCATTTCGTTGAGCAAATGACCATTCCGTGACGTCATTGATTCTGCGCGCAGAATTTCAAATAAATCTCTCGCCGTCAATATTGCTCTTTTTTTTTGCGTAAAATTTATCTTTTGACACGCATGTCCCTATCGCACTGTTTAAAAATTTTTCTTTTTTTTCAGAGGACCTTTAATGACTTTTTTTGCTGACCTTGGAGCGCTGTGTTCCTCGTTCCTTCTTCCCTTCGCGCCACTGTTTACTATATCAGTTGAATAGATATGGGAAACTAGGGTACAGTTTTATAAGAATGTTTTATAGATTTCTTGAAAAAAATTTAAAGCTGCGGTAGGTACAATAATATAAAATGAGACAATGCATGCATGATTAATGGGACACTAAGGGGGTATTTATGCTCGCCAAGGTTTTCACTTGTACATAAACTATGAGAGCCCAACTACCCAGAACACAATTTAGGGCTCGAAATTCGTTTTCTTTCCGCACAAGAACCCCCGATCGAGAACTGGACGCTTTGAGTGGTGTTCACTCTCTTCTCCGTGGTCACACGCCGTTTTCTGTAGTTTAGGCACAACCACGAAAGATAATCAAAGTCGTTGGTCATAACAGTAACACAGTCAATACTAAAAATGGACAAAAAATGTAATGCCCATTTCTTGTGGCTACTAAAAAACTGCAAATACGTTGATTGAAAAACAAAAGTGGCGCAGCTACGTGACTTCTGGTAACTTTGTCCTCCTCTATATTTCTTCTCCATCCTCAGTCTAATTTCGGTTTCGAGCAGTTGCGTTTTTTTACTTTATTAGAAATGTACTTGACGCGGCAGCAAAGTATTGCTTGAGGAGTCTTCTGACACCCTAATAAATTGCCTGGTAAAATATAAACACATTTTTTGGCTAGTGTCTGTGTCTCTTTACGAACAATGACTCACATCCAACTGAGTGGTTAGAAAACTTTTTTGCCATGAACAGCGACCGAACTAGAAAGTTGCAGGCCCCTATAGTGGAAGCCTCAGATTATATCTTTGACAGTTAAAAACATCTTAACATTAGTGCTCTTCATGAGAATGCAATCTTATGCCTGAGTGAAAAAAAAAATACATTGGGCAAGTATGACACCAGTAGCTCTTCGAAAGACAAGCGCCGTGATTCTGTATCTTCATTCATCCTCAGAATTGGAAATGAACCGGTTAAACATTTTTTTTTTCATTTCTCAGAAGGTTCAAAATTTACAAAATATCCCTGAATATCCGTGCATCAACCTATCTTGGTTTAAATCATTAATTGTTGATATGCGCCATGGAGTAGCATCCTCCCCCACGTGAGGTAACAAAGTATATTTTAAGAACAATTGCTCACTTCAGTAATTTTTTGCTTGTTTCTTGACTTTCAGTTTGAACATAGTAAAGCTTACAAGCGTGAGACACCGAAGACCCCCAGACAATTTCACTTCTAAGACTTAATCTAACAAAATAAATTTTGTCAAGTGGAATGTATGCCTTTCTCTGCAAGATACAAAAAAGCCTTAAAGCAAATGCTACCCTTTTGCTAAATCAGTGGTTCTCAACCATCAATATTTTCCTGAACTGTTGTGGATAGGTGGAGACAATGGAGGACGCCGTTCGTGGTGAGGGGAGAAAAAAGGTATAGGGTAAATATAATAATGATATAAAAATGAATATAACTAAGGACTAGTGTGAAATATACTTCTTTTACTGACAAGGACACAAAGGAAAACTCTCCCGAAAATTTAAAGAAAATAATTCTGATCTATCTGATAACGACGACTTTTATTGCCGGGCTTGACTAATGAGGCAGGGCTTAACAAACAGCTAGAATCCCTTCGCGGACCCCACAAGACTCCGCGGACCCCCATTTGAGAACCACTGGGCTGAATGATTAAAACATATTTTAAAGAATATTAAAAGTAAGTTTTAGAACTACTGGGCTGAATGATTAAAACATATTTTAAAGAATATTAGACGTAAGTTACATACACACCAAAACATCAGCTTTTTTACGCACATAAGTGCAATTTTTTGAGCGAAAAGCCCCATTTTTGCCATTGTTGAACGACTGAATACATCACTTTTGACACCCTTTGTGCTGAACAACAGAAATGAGCGCATAAGATCTTTGAAAAGAACTAACTTAATATTATCAGGATAGTTATACTTCCTTCAATGTGACACGGTCAAAAGTTTGCTCTGCCAGATCAGGTCTTTGTGAGCTTTCCAAACATGCAACTTCTTGGCATAAATAAAGAGCGAAACAGGAAGTATAATAATTATATTAATTATATTTTAGAATTATAGTGCTGTTATAAATAATATTACGTATGTATTATTGGTAAATCACGAAAAGAAAGGTTTTCAGCGAAACCTGATATGTTGTAAATCTAGATATCCTTCTCGGTGGTCAAAGTAAATTGAAAATTCATTCAGTTATACAGAAGTGATGACCGCTGCAGATTTATTACAAGGGTAAGTTATGTAAGTCATTACACGTTTATTATCTTAACAGTCGCACACGTTTATTATCTTAGCAGTCGCACAAGCACAGAAACCAGCAAAAGCTGTTCTTGTGTGAATTTTGTACAGAAGTCAGTGCGGGGTGGAAATGTGCAATTTCTGTTAAATATAATTATTGACCGAAGTTACGCTTCGCCTCAAAGTATGTACGATGCCCTCAAGATTTAACGCCATCACCAGGGTGCCTGCTATTCGTGGTTTAAGTATATTACGTGAATTTAGTTGCGATCATCTGAGTCCTATGATGAAACAGTTTAACCTGATGGAACTGGCGGGACACGTCCTGCGAGTGAACATTTGCGTACCGTAAAATCCCGAATGAATTACTACCTATGGTGTAGGGATTGAATAGAAAAAAATATAAAGGGGTGATCTCTCGACGTTGGGCGTTTGTTTTGGATTTTTCAATTAGACACCCTCGATTGCGTACAGCGTTACCCTTTTGCGTACTACATATACCAACATACAAATCTTGTCTGGAGCATTTTGTTTATGTCTACCCGGCTTTCTACAGCTAGAGACAAATAGACAAGTGCATATTATTCCACCGTACTCACCCGAGGTATCGGACCTGATGTTGGACCAGCGCCATCTCAAAGATCATAGGCTGCTTGAGTTCATTTGGCTTGTAAAGTGAAAAAAGCAGAAAAGAGCCGCATTATCTCAGTGAAACATGACGCATGCTTGTAGCCATATTTCAGTCGCATTTTGTTACCTTTCAAATTCAAGCGTTCGTGTGCATGGGTAATTTGATATTTAGTGCTGATACCCTAGAATACCTTTTGTGCCATAGTAGTACCCATTTGCTAGCATTCACGGTTCAAAAATCAGTCTGATCTGACCGCCATCGCTGTAAAACGTATTCTTGGGCCACCATTATGGCAACCTCGGTGACTCCTTAGCGAGGCCGAACTATCGCACAATTTACACACACTAGCGACAAGATGACGGCACGAAGAAGCCATGGTTGCAAACCTGTACAATATGACCTCGCAAGATTCTCCTGAAGTTTCGTGTAAAAGGCTTGAGAGCAAAATATGTATGAAACAAGAATCGTCAAAATTGAACGCGTAAAGCTCACCTTAATGCAGCGGACGTAATTTGGCGTTTTCGCTTGAAGATTTTTTACAAGGGCCCCAATGGAAATTTTAAATTGCGTGGCAGTCGTAGTAGGACGTTTTAGAGTCGTACGCTTTGGGTTTCCTGAAATCCAACAGTGGCCGTAATTAAAACACGTGAAACGAATCCTAGATATGTTTTGACTGCGCTCCAAAGACGCGAACAAAAAAAAAATAAACCTCGGATTCGAATCATGCATAAATTTCTTCCTTTCTCAAAGGGACCCGTATATGAACACCCCGGGCAGTTCACGCGATTTCTTAAAAGTCATCAACCAACTAAAGTAGTTCTGATAAATCCTTGCAAATCCCCGATATTCAGCACGTACCACAACAAAATCCGACCCATTGCATGTTTGCTGTAAATGTTGGACCAAAGGTGCGTTTAAAGATGGCTTAGCCAGTGTTTTACATGAGCCCTACTAGCCGACACGCTACTTGCTTCAACGGCCCCTGTGGCCAATGAAGACCGCTCGCTGACAAAAAACTGGATATGTTTATCACTAAATAGATAACGCGCCATTAATTTAAACAATGATGTCGCTTGTGGATTGAATTTGATACATTTGTGGACTAAAATCAAAAACTAGTTTTAAATGTTTCATTGAGTCTTTTTTGTCTCATTTTGTTGCATATTTTAATGCGTGCTTTCTGTCTGAAGTGCGCTTTCAAGTCATTTTGTATATAAACATTTATTGTGCTTTATCATTGAAGCAGGGAGGGGTGGGGGGGGGGGGGGGGTGCAGACTCACTCAGACCGGAGTTTGGGAGCTTTTTGCCTATACCCCACCATCTTCTAAAGATAAATGTCAAAGTAAATTTTATTTGAAACTTTAGATTGTTTCAGTTTAAGACTACTATATTTTTTCGACTTAGAGTTATGTGTGGCAAACATTGCGCTTAGATATTAAACGGCGCTTACAGCAATGCTGAGATGTTCATGACACTATCAACGCTAAACATGATTAATATAGAGGACATAGTGCGTGTTGCTTGGACATTCAGATAATTCTGCTTCTCTTGGTCCGGAGACAGAGCGGCTCGTTCAGACTGTTGTTTAAGTTCCTTTAAGTAAGTCAATATTTTAGTTGTTTGGGCCATTTCAGTGTTTGCCGTCTATTTATTATTTCCATGTGTTAAATTTTTGTTTCGTGCAGTTATGCCTGTATGTACATATCTAGCATGTTTGCGTAAATTTTTTTTTTCTTTCTCCCAAAGCAGATATTGGTGGGTGTTGCGAGTATTTTTATCCTTCGACACTGCCTTAAAAAACACCAAAACCTAAACTTCATGTTTCGACGAGATTCGCTACAATTTGGTTTATACGATAAAATTAACAAGATAATTTGTAACGCATAAATTAAGTAATGAATCAATGCGTCTGCGCTATAAGGCTGTGTGCCCATTATCTGCGGAACAATAACGAAAGCGAATTGTTGTGCATGGTAGAGCGTTCAACATCAAGTGAATTCTAGAAAGTTAATAATGTGTAGGGTATTATATAATAAGTATGCATGTGCAGTCGGCAATTACCCACAAAAAACAGCATAAACAAAGAGCAAGAACGAGCATGTTCAAATCACCCGGCTTACCTTCCGGAAACAAAATCTTCATCAGCGGATGATCGCAGCTGTACATGGCTTGAGACAGGTCACGGTAGAGATGATCATTATTTTTATCAATAAAACCAGCAACAGAGTAGGTAACCTGAAAACGACAAACGCCGCAAAAATGTATTATAAACATCGTTAGGCAACACGAAAAGCGTATATATAAAGATGTTTATGACACACGCGAATTCTGTTGTAAATTTGTCATAATTGTTACCAACGCAGAAAGTTCAGACATCATGCAAACTATCTGGAAACAGAACAAAAAGTACTCCGCATAACAGTCATTAAGTTCGTGGTACTGGACCTTAGACCACGACTAAATGCTTATCTTGGAAATCACCACACCCCGCGTTCCTTATGCTGTAAGTGGCTATGTCAAAACAATAAAAGAAACTCGCTGAATTAAATAATTAATGGTTCCGTCTGATCGCTCACTCGCTCGGCTGAAACACCGAAACGCCACGCTGGTGGGCCAGATATGACGGTGAGAGTTTGAAAAGGAAGTTTAGCTGGTCGCACTTTTATCTCAAGTGGGTTCTCCAGACAGCGCCCAGTTTGGTTTAGATCCTCAAAGCCGTGTCAAACTGTGAAAGTCCCCCGAAACTGGAGCATCCAGCGTTGGCAACACGAGTCTCGAACATCCGAGATATCGGCTACCACCAAAAACCATCTTCGCTCGACCGTGATATCTCACAGGCCTCGTGAGGCATTCAACTGAGTCTGCTGCGCCTGGAAAGGACCGCTGCGAGGTTTCTGGGTACGAAGCGTATAAGCTGCTTAAGACCTCTTTATATTTTAATCCATGTTTTCATTTTTAAAGTTTGAATGAGTCATATTCTTTTTAATGATGAGTTTAACATAATTTTTAAAAGCCGAAAGCGGATCATCTGCTTCAGGGCGTAAAGTAAGTAGTAAACGGAACTTGGAGAGACCACCGAAAACGAAAAATAGCAGCTTGCATGTTACCCCATAGCACAAAGCTCCTACAGTATATGAAAAGAAAGCGAGGGAGAGGAGGAAATGAAAGCGGGAAGGAACGAACGAGTTCTAAGCTCTCATTGCAAGAATAGCGGGTAGAGACAAACTATACTCACAGCTAGAACGCGATCGAACGCAGAATGCCAGTGCCCGGCTTTCGAGCGCTAGACACTGCGCGAAGAGAAGACGAAGCTCTTGTTTGCTCCGATTGGAGGGGTGCAGGGGGTAGAGAGAAAGGCGGCTGGCCTATGCTGCTACCCTCTAACCCTTCCAAACAAAGCTCTGCGCTTTGACGTCCTCGCGCGCTCTCAATCTCCTCCTCTCTCTCAGATTCTTCCGGTATAGCATCGCCACCACGTGTTCGGTAATTGGCTGAGGAACTTGTGTATCCCAACTTTTTGAACAATATATATATATATATATATATATATAAACTGCTCGCCGAATAGGTTTCCTGAGATATGGTTGCATTCAAAACAGAAAAAAATAAATCACTGCAATGAAAGCTGCCGGATACCTCGCAATAATTTATGTTTATATTTATTGTTGCCTCAAGGTCCGAAAGCATTACAAAGGAAAAAGAAGCTAGAAAAAAAAAAAACGAATGGATCTATAATTAAAACAAAATACAGTTAAGACACATTCATCGGAGAAATGGTTGCTTATAGGAGATCTGAAAAGCTCAGTGTGTGTATTGAATTCAATCGATCCGGGTAGGTGGTTCCAATCCCGGAATGTATGGCGAAGAAAACGTGAATGGACCATAATCGCGATAAAGCTTGAAAAGCACCTTGCGATCTACTGATCAAGACGAGACGAAGCACCAATGTGGAGGGTGAGTAATTGTCACATTGCATGAAATCATTAAAAAAATCGACATAAAAAATTAGTACAACTTTTTGGCACGAGAATAAGCGGGAAAAGGGAGAGGGGTCCAGTGATTAACGTGATTTTATAATGGTTATGCCAGATGTGAAGCGGTAAGTTTAAAATATAGGGATCTGTGTTGGATAACTTCTAACGTAAATGAGAGTGTGGCTTGTCGGCTCACAATGTCGCCATATCTACGTTTTTCCTTATATCATTGAAAATTACTTCTGAAGTAGAGTTCAGAGCCTGCTTACTCATGCGGCGTGAGTTTCGCGTTTCAGTGCGCGTTACATGCATCGCTCGTCATATAAAGAATTTACAAATTAAAACGCACAGCCTGCAGCGCTCTAACCCGTTTTCCAGGCGCTTTCAGTGCTGTCTGAGTAGCTACATTTCGATCATGTGGCCCTGCGTTTCAGTGGTTGCATTCTTTTCTTGCAACAGCGGTGACTTTAACTGGGCATGCCTTTCACAACAGAGCCGTAATTAACCCTGACCTCCGACTATGGTTGAGGGTAGGATAATCCCGATTTTATTATTCGGACGCCAGGAAGGATTCAGTTAACACCGACAACTGTCATTTTTTATAGACCAATAGCTATTCATTTGTGCTAATGTCTCGAAAACAAAAAAACAAAACAAAACAAAAAGTTTTGAACTCAAACTATGCTACAAAAGTGTTGGTGAAATACGCAAAATTCAAACATTAAAATATTAACTTTTAATATTGAATGCGCACTTGCGACACCTTCATCACTATGGGATGCGTCGAGTCTACGCTCGGCTCCCTTTGAATTGAACATTGTTTGACGCCGCATAGGCGCCCCCGACGCCGTTGTCGAATAGCTCTAATGTCGCTACCTCTCCAGGAAGCTTATAGTTTTACACAGTTTCCCCTTCTCCAGGAAGTTTATGTGGAGCGCAAGTTCGTCTGCTTCTTCTGCAGGGGTTGTAATGACGTCAGAACGCCGAGTTCTGATTGGCTGGTGGAAGGATATTGTGCAGACCTCTAAGCAAGCTGCCTTGAGGTCTACCCTCTATCTTTCAATCAGAGCCAATCAAAGCTCGGCCTTCTGACGTCACCGCAATTACTGTAAAAGAAGCAGACGAACTTTCGGTCCGCATATTTTTATACAGTTTCACCGCCAACTTTCAAGATGTTTAAGACCAGATGTCAAGAACACAATATGCAAAGCACATAAAAGAAAATTTTTTTTAGTCATGGCTCTAGAGATTTGCCTCATAGTGAAATTGTTTGTTGAAATACAGTTCTGTTGATTCTGGGGCGTATGTACTTCCCTAGTTGGAACACATTCATATAGGTACTGAGATATTACAAAAAGCACTAAGAATGGCTTATTGTGGATGCTTACTGCTTAGTGATTGGTTCTTTGGCGCTCTCATTGGTAAAATGCTGCAATCTAATTGGCTCAAGACCGGTAGTAACATTCTCGCCACGCCCTCGTCGTTTCTTAGGCTTTCAGTGACCAGAGTAAAAAAGCTATTGATGGCGTTTTGCAAAACACAGACGAAGTTTATAAACAAATTAGAACCTAGCTACCCTCCTAATGAAGAAAAGAACTAAGGGGGCATTAATTAAGCCAAATGCGTATCGGCCCGTCGGGAGTGTAAGCCGGAAAACGAGTCAAACAATGAGACAAAAGACGCTTGGTGCGCGCAGTCGGCTCCTTGAACAATGAACCATTTTAGAAATAACTGGCGCCACCTGGCAGAATACTGTCGTTCGAGGAACCCCAGTATAAAACAATGTGCGCCTTTAGAAAAGAGAGAGAGAGAGAGAGAAACAAAACTTATTTTAATCAGCTTGGGGGCAGAAAATAAGCAACATTAGGAACAGAAGGAACATGAGGGGAGCTCAATTTAAAGTGAGTAGGTTCATTCGATTTATCGGCACCTCCTGCACCAGCTGCCTTTAGTGCACGCCGCTGCATCTGCTTTACGAGTGCAGCCTGTTTGAAAACACAACCGGAAGTATATTGCCATGCATTTTTCTACACCACGGTACACTTTGTTGCACCGGTGCAGGCTGGTGCAGGTAAAGGCCCCTTCACACACTTGCGTTCAGAGCTACCATTGCGCTTACGAACAAATGCAACCGGCTGGAACGACGAGTTACCATGGCAACAAAGCGCCAAATGGCCGCTTTGTTCGTGTCCGTTCGCAGTGCAAGGCGTCGAGCCCGGCTGAACTTTTTCGCTGCGTTTGGGGACGAACTGAGCGGCCATACCGACCGACCAATCAAAGATCGAGGAGAGCTCGACCGCACACGTTTCATGCGCGGTCGCGGTTCCTTTTATTGCTTCTGTGTGCTGAAAACCATGGCGTCAGCGGTGATCGTCGACGTGGTCGGCGTGGTGGAAGCGCGTCGTTCTACGTAGAGCGCTATTCTTGACTGAATTCTCGTCGTGCATCGCGATGACAACCGAGCACGTCCTAGAAGGGATCATTTTACTCTTGCAGCGATGTCGTGGCAGCACCCTAAAGAGAGCAGAAACGCTCGTGCCGTCGTGTTTATTTACCTCGACTACAGTGGTACTTTTTTAGCACCTGTGTCCTCGAACATTGCCCGGATTTTTATTCTGCGCACTCCACAGATGTGCCCACGTTCAAGGTATTTGTAATGCGTACTTTGTTTAAAGGCGTGAATGAAAGATGCTAATTTTCACGCGTTTTCATCACCCGGGAAAAGTGATTAGTGTTACATTCCTGAACGCTCACAACGTCTATATGATCACGAAATCATATTTCAACATTGTTATATCGCTGCTAAGATTACATCTTATTTTGTATTCGTAGAACAAAGGCTTGGCGAGATTTGCACTATTGGTAAGGTCGTGACCAACAATACTAGAACCCTCAGTTTGGAAACTCGCCGTCGAAACTTGGGCCGCTGGCGTCCACCGAGACCAAGCTAAATACGGCAACAGTGCCACTCTTTATCATTTGTCTGTACTGTGGTCACCTTGAGCTTTTAGAAAGCATGTGTTTGCGTAAAAACAAACAGAAAAGACTCTTTTTGTATGAAATTTATTGGAGTTTAGTACGAAATGATGGGCGCGTGATGATTTTAAAATCTTTAGGTTGCAGGGTTTTGCGGCACAATTAATATCGTTTTTATACAACCATGCCTCAGCGGTGCTTTTATGTAGCGCGTCCCGACCTAGGTGCATTTAAACTTCGGTATTAAGTTGCGGCGCGTCCGCTGGGGAGACAGGGGTGGCACCCCTGTAATCTCTTCCGCTGTATCGGTTTCGGCTCCAAAATGGCCTATTAAAGCCAAATTAGAAGTAACGTACAGTTCCTCGAGTGGCCGCTGCGGGATAAATGGCGGCGTCGTGTTCGTCATTGGCTCGGTTCTCGAGGACAGATCGGGTCAACTTTTTCAGATAAGTCTCTATGGCAGTTTCCCAACTGAGTGTTTTAGTAACGTTGGTCGTGACCATCCAAGACGGGGCCCGCATGTTTTTTTGTTTTTTTTTCATCCATTGCGCCTTGCGAGCTTACCCTAACAAAACAAGAACCTTAATAAAGCTTGAGGTTATAGAATACTGTCTATCTATTTTTTGTTACGCCAGTGAGTGGCAGCGCTCCCCTTCTTTTAGAAGCACCGCGGAAACAGGTAACGGCGCCGGAGAAGCGGCCGCCGTGCGGAAGACCTGCTTCGCTTGTTGCACTGCATGGTTGCTGGAATGTGTACGCGCGACGCAGAGTGGTCGTTCCGGTCGCTCCGGCCACAACAAACGCAGTAGTAGCTAACGCGCTCGTTGCAGATATCTCAACCAGACTTACATCGAATGAGAGCCCAGTGACAAGTTGAGAGTTCAAAGAAATCCCCCCCCCCCCCCTTTCTACTACAGCGGAGCAAACGCTAGAGAGGAGGTCGCCTCCTCTCAGGCACTTGTTCTGCTAATGGGAAAAGGGTAGGAGGAGCTTCCCCTGAATTCTTAACCTGTCACCGACTATAGACGCTTTACACACGCGCCAAATTACAACCGCCATTGATGACCTTCAGTTGTCTTTCCCAGATGCCAAGCAACTAAAGCGGGCGTTGACGAGCCTCCACAAAGGTCAGTGCTGTGGAGAAAGACACAGCAGAACCTGAAATGGCAATAACCTGCCCTGCTGTGGTAATGATCAAGTGAAGTAATTGTAATAATAGGTAACAGAAACTGAAGGTCACTTATGGCGGCACCCATCCACAGCTGTTGCAAAGCGCCTATTGGTGGCCGCTGCTTAATGGAGCTAGTAGGGTCTAGCTCACTCAGTCGAGGGAGTCCCCGCGCGAGTGTAAGCACGTGCTCCCACGTTTGCACGGCAGAACGTACTGAACCGAAGCTATTCAAAAACGACGGATTGTACAGTTGTGTGGCCACACTTACAGCACCGGCGTAATGCCTGAGACGGAAGCACTGAGATGGCAGGGAGGCGTCCGCCATGAAGTTCTTGCATCCTTTGCTCTCGAAGTAGGGGCTCTCCTGGCACACCTTGGTCAGCTTGTACAAAAACGTGTCGTCACTGACGGGCTCCGGCCGAAGGCACTCTTCATCCAGCATCGCCAGGATGCCGTGATTATTCTGCCAAGGGCACGAGATTCGTGAAGTTTATTAGAAGGCCACCATATACTCACTTTGCATTCCAACTACAAGATCTCGCAACGTGCACTGGTCTGTAGTCCGTATCACCCAATAACAAAACGCAGAGGACTCAACGAGTCACCGAAGCCAGTCCGATGTAGTGCGAGTGTCGCGTGACGTTCGGGAAGGGCCGGGGACGCGCGCGAAGCGTAGTCACGTGATTTGTTCACAGCGCTGGATTGGCTGGGAGAAATTGTAGCCGCCGCTGCCGTGCATCGTAAGGTGAAACGAAGTATCGTATCCCTCTATTTTTTTTTTGTTTGTTTTTGTTTCTACTTTGATCATGCATGCAGCACCCCGTGCCTCTTGCCCCTTCTTCCCCCCCCCCCCCCCCCCCCCCCCGGATTGAGGAAATCTAAACCGCTCAGCTCGTGCGTTCTCTCATCTGCTTCCATCAAGTGACGTACATAAAAATAATAAAACAAAGACTCGATCGTCGACGAAGCGGTAAGTACGGAGTACTATCCTCGCATTAGAAGCCAACCGGCAACAAATGATGTTCAAAGGCAGGTTTGCAAATAAACTCGAAAGACGCATAACCAAATGCAAAATTGAAGGCATGTTGAGGATTACTAAAATAAATCTAAGTTAAAGCCTAAAATGAAAAAAGGAGTGGAGCTAGAAACCTCGAGAGCTTAACCTCAACCCGCGGATACCGATAACTATACACTCTAAAAAAAAGCCTGCGTTTCTACTTACCCTCAGAACACGCAAAGAGCGAATCTCTGCGACTTAGGAAATCAGCTCAGCGAATGATGACGCGGAACATCCGTTTAGGCCTGAAAATGAAGTTTGCGCTGTAGCATTGCGCAATGCAAAACGTCATGCTTGCATTGCGTAATGCCACAGCGCTGACTTAATTTTTAGGTCTAAACGGACGTTCCGCCTCGTCATTCGCTGAGCTGATCTCGTAGGTCGTAGAGATTGGCTCTTCGAGTGTTTCTCGTGTAAGTCGCGCAGTCATTTTTAATAGAGCCTTTTGTAATTCATTTTGAATTACAAAAGGTTTGTCCCACCACATAGTAGTGGAACATACCTTTTGTCCCACTACTATATTAGTTGATGATACCTGACTGTTCTATAACAATTTCATGGTTTCTTCGAAGACACTTAGCTTACGAGACATGCCTGGTAAATCAAAATTCCACCGGCCAGTGCTTGCGTGCTACATTAAAACTGAATATATAGAAAGCGGTAAATGATAGGAATAATTTTTCATGTTGAGTATTCTTTTGTAATTCATTTCGAGCTTGAAACACTCACCTTTTCAATGAGGTCACAGATTATTGCATTATTGAAGTAGTCTATGTGCTCCCATTGAATACCCTGAAAATGCCATAAATTAGTGAACAACGTTACCTTCAAATCTACGGCCGTCGGTTTCAGGCCTTACCTCATGTATATACTCCTCTTGCTCCTGTTTGAGCGTAAGTACTATGAAGAGCTGTTGAAGCTTCTCGTTGCAATAATTTATAACAAACTGTTCAAAACAGTTTTTCTGGAATGCAAGATTTGATCATAAAACAGTGCACTCAATAATACCTAAAACTGCAACTTTTATAAAACCGTTTCAAAATAGTCCTTGCATCGCCATAATTAGGAATTGAACGCTTACTCACCTCTAGTACTTCGAATCCGTAAATGTCCAGAACACCTAGACATCTTCTTTTCCCGACTCGTTTTGCCTAAAAAGTGAATGAAAGACTTCGATTTTTGTTTTTTTTTCGACCGTAACGCTAGAGCGATCTTAGGAAGTTTGATTGCACATTCCATTTAAAACAACGTCCACTTGAAGTCCCGCCATTCGACTTAATTGGACGAAACATCACTTAAATTTGTTCAATTGTATTATAAATATTTTTTTTATTGCACGCATTTGTGTTATGTGCTTCACACGAGACAGAGCAGCCAGAAAGGGTCATGCGTTCGTTTATTGACCTCTAAGCAAAACGCTCTGTTTCGGTTGAAGAAACCTGTACACATCAACAAAGGTTTAGACAAACAGCTGAACTCGGCAAGATGTTTTGCCTTCACAGCTACTCTCCATAAAAGGACCAATCTGGAAACCAAATGTACTAAAGCTCTAGTTTGTCAAAGAACTTATGCTTTCATAAGAAAAAAATCAAGCAAACCATCTTAAAGCTTTTAACGAAAAGCTAAAGGAAGTGGCAGCGGGCATAGACAGAATGTTGATAAATATAGAGTATGGGACAAATCTTAATAAAGAATTACTAAGAGGCAAAAAAAAGTGCCTTGCTTCATAGCATTTTTTTATTCTTTTACAGTCCTGTTCATTTTATCAAAGCTGTTTCAGCCTCGACAGATTTAATACGTGTTATGGGCTGAAGCTTCGAATCCCGACACATCACATAATACTTTTATTTCTAGCAAAAGCTCAGTGCAACATTAGGAACAAAAATAACACGAAAATACAACGGAGCACGTGCTGTTTATGAATTTAAACTTGCGGAGTGGGCCTCGTGAGTCGCTAACCCATTAAAACGAGCACGAAAAAAATATATAAATATATATATATATATATATATATA